CAAGGAGGGTGGCACAAAGAGGGGATCAGAGGTTGGGAAAGGGGGGGCGGGTCCCGGTTCTCGCAAAACACTGCCGAGGCCAAAGCTCCAGTAGGCACCAGCGAACTCTTGGGCTTTTTTCAGATATACCCCAGCCTGATGTGTTGAAAACGTGACGAAACTGATAACATGAAAATTAAGTTTGAGTTGAACGAAGGAGTTCGCTTGTCTGTCTTTAGACTGCACCATCAAACGCCATCAAACGCTGCGTGGCAGCCCTCAACCCTAAACCATAAATCCTAAGTTATATCGGCGTCAAAGAAGATCAGAAACTCTGCACCTTTTGACGACTCCACTACTATTTCGCCCGACGGTCTTGCTCAAGTGCAGGCCGTGGCGGCAGATAACGCATCTCCTCCGCAGCATTAATTATGATTAATCTGCAGCGCCTGAGCCTGGAACCTATTCATTGGGCGATCGTCTACGAGCTTCTTAGTTTTAGCCTTTACAGAACGCAGTGTACCAAACGATACTCAGTAGTAGTTGGAACAAGACATGTCATTGTTTCCGGCGATCAGTGCAGCCCAGATACGCGACTTGGAAGATGAAAAAACTCCGGGTGACTGCTTCTTTCGGAGAATATGGGCCAAGTTCACAATGTCCACAGAACGCTGGCCACATAATCAAGTTGCCTGTATAGCCATGACCGTGCGTTGATAGGGAGGGTACTACAATTAACAAGTCCCTTGCTCAGTTTCAAAAGCATAGTACACAGTTCTCGCCCCGTGAGTGATGCACTTGCAGTTGGCCGAGCCATGAGTTTCTCACTTCGTTTCAAGACCGAAAGCGTGGAGAAACTTGCGGAGGCGTTCATGCCCTCTGGGAATAACAAGGCAGTGCGCGTCCGGCAGTGCCAACGCGATCTGAAGGGGTGATGCACACGCATTAAGTTAAGCAGTTTAAGCCGTGCTATGGTTCGGCTTCGGAACTTGCTAGTATTGGTGGTGAACCTGCCAAGGCGACGTGCGCGGAAGAAGCGCCGCGCGTCAAGAAATTTTGTGAGCGTCTGACGTGTAGGCCTCGCTCCGTCAAAGCGGTGGATGGGCAAAATCTCCGCGAGCGCAACGCCCAGGAACGGCTGTGACTGTGCCGGGACATGTTGCGACTCTATGCCCAGCCAGTGAGAGACCGGACGCTTAAGCTTCAGCAAGAAGCTCCAAAACATGCGGAATCAGGGCCTGGTCAACCCTTGGTCCGTTTTTGGCTGTGCCCGTTCCCATGTTGTTGCAGCGCGCCTGGTCCTAGGCCTTCTTAGGGCAGAGCACTCTCCAGTCATCGTCCTGGAGGACGATGCCCAGTTGACTGCGTACACGACACCCTCAAAGGTCTGGTCGCACCGGAAGGGTTTGGAGTTCTTGAACGCACGTCACTCTGACTGCGGGGCGCCACAGGATCTCTGGGCACACGCAGCGTGTTGTTGTACCTGGCAGAACGGAGCGTGTGTGCCAGACAAATGCTTTTGTCCATGGCCTGTGAAGTGGCAGAGCACTTCTTGACGCAGCTTGAGGACACATGCTGATTGTTGGTTGCAAATGCAGCCTTCACGGCCACAACTCCAGTTTTTTGTGAGTTTTTTTCTGGACAGCCAACTGCTGCCACAGGGTGTAACTGGGACTAGCCCTTCTTGCCACTGCGCAGAACCGAGGGGGGCCAGAACGGTTGGCGGCACGCGCAGTCGTCAGAAGCCCAGCCAGCCTCCCAAAGCAACTGTGAAGGTGAAGAAGGTGGCCAAGAAGCAGTTGAATACAGCATGGGCAGCTGATGGCGCAGCCCCAACAACAACGTCTGGCAGAACTGCGTATAGGCAAGGATGAACCCGTTATTGGATGGGTGCGCGCAGGGTGCGAACAATGGTCTTGTTGATTCGCTCATACTCTGTCTTGCGGTTGGCGAAGCCCATGCGGTCGAGGGAATACCGACATCCCCGCGTATTTGCCCGGAACCCTCCGCCCGAGTCCTTATTTTATATCAGTCTTGTCCGTGCCCGATATCTCCTGTCGAAAAACTCATACAGTCCACATATAGAACCCTAAACCCTATACCTTAAGACAGAGCCCCGACATAGACTCTCTATAGTTCCTAAGGTTCTCTTAGAACGGTCCTTCTTCCGCCCCTTCAAACCCTAATCCCCAAACCCTGCCCTTAACACAGAACATGAGCCTCAAGTTGGTCCAGGGTTTGGGGACTCCTACTAGGGCTAGCTTTTCAACAACCCATTGGGGTTTAGGCCCCAAGCCCTTGGAGCCAACCTGTGCAAAACATCTGGTCAAGCCTATAGAGCTTATGAAACCCTACGAGCCCTAGAATCCCCGCAAACCTGATAGATACCTAGAATCCCCTCTCTAAAAGCCCTATAGTTACCTATAATCCCTGCAAGCCCAGAAGCCCTAGAAACCCTGCAAATACCCATAAACCCCAGACGCCCTATGGGCACGAAAAAGTCTGAAAACCCTATCAGTGCCTGTAAGCCCAGAAACCCTACTTGGAGGTTCATGGTACTTGCTAACCAATAATAACTGTAGTTATAACTGTACTTAGAACCATATCAGGGCACTTAAGTGGGTTATAAGTACAGTTATAATTGGCTAATAAGTACCATGAACCTCCAAGTACCCTGGAATGGAGAGATGGACTGCTGCCAGGGTTTCGACGATCTCGACCGGGACCTGCAGGGACTATAAGACTAAGAGGTTTAGAGCTTGAAGGTTTACAGGGTATACGAATACGAGGTTATTGGGCGTTTACACAACCGCTTAATCCCATGATAGGAGCTAGACTAGAGGGTTTATTGAATTTATAGGTTGTTTGTTTTTCATTTAGGCTCTGCGAGGCGTTATGGTCTGGGAGGGCCCACGTTGCAACAATGATGTTGTGACGATTTGTGGCCTGGGTCTCGAAGAGTACGCGGTCGGGTTCGTTGCCTTCGGCGTAGGGTTCAGGCTATGGTCTTCATGCCCGGATGATTTCGGAGTATATCAGGTACTTGAATGTTCATGTGTCCTTCTTAGTAGGTTCTTAGTAATTAGGTTATAAGTACCATAACTTGATGTAGGAGATTTAGCCACGAACCTTCAGGTAGGGTCTGTTTCATTGTTAATGGTTGGGTGATTTGGGGATATGAACAATGAACAACCCCCTACCTCATATCGTTCAGCAAGGGCTTCGGCTCACTTACGGTGCTAGGGTTTAGTTCTTCTGTTTCCCCTCTATCTTAGGGTTTAGAGTTTAGGGTTTAGGGTTTAGGGATTCAGGGTTTCGGCTAGTTACATGGTCCCTTCATGTGGTCCCTGACCTTCCTTCAGGGGTTGCGAAGCATGGGCCCTTGGCTGTTACAGGTATGTAAGTTGTATCAGGGCTCCCCCATAGAGAGCCCATACGTAGGTACCCTCATACGAAAGCTTCGCCTAAAGCCGAAGCTCCCAAAGGCCTGCATTGCCAGTTAATGGTGACATGTGCACGAAGCATACACGAGGTCCCAAAGTAAGGTCTCATACTTCCAACCCCGAAATCCGTACTATGCCCTAAACCCCAACCTTAAACTACAAAGCCTAACCCCTAAACCGCAAGAACTCCCAGATTAAGATTGTTTTTGTTCGCCGCTCTGCTTTTCGGAGGAATGATTGCCACTGACGGCGGCCAAAGAGCATTTCCGGCCAAATGCAGAAGAAAACAAGCCTATTAGCATCTGGGGTTTCGGGCTCAGGGTCCAGCCATCGAATCCCTAAGTCAAGGTTGGAGGGTTTAGGATTTAGGGTTTAGGGTTTAGGGTTTAGGGTTTCGGTGTTTTTTTTGGTTCGTGGGGTTGTAATGGCATCCACTACACCTAACAAGCTGGGCTAAGTAGGCAGAAGGTGGCCGATCCCCAGCTCCAAGCTGAGGGTCTAGCCCTAAACCCTAAACCCTAAACCCTAAACCCTAAGCCCTAAGCCCTAAGCCCTAAGCCCTAAGCCCTAAACCCTAAACCCTAAACTTTAGGGTTCAGGGCTTAGGATTGAGACTTCAGGGTTCCGGGGTTAGGGGAGCTCCTGCTTCGGCGTGCTAAAGCGAGGGAAGGGAGAGGATAGAATTCAGGGTTTAGGGTTTAGGGTTTAAGGCTAAGGGTTTAGGCTTTAGGGTGTAGGGTGTAGGGTGTGGGAATAATTACTCGTAGTATCCCCTTATGGCCCCTCTACGATGATACCATAATAACACAGGAAAAAACCTCGTTCTATTTATTCAGGCCCCTATGCTACATGTATACCTTGGGATGTTCCCCACTTATACTAACAGTCCTTAATAGGGATTATACTAGAGGATACTATACTCCGTAAGGGCTGTTAGTCTAAGGTGGAACATCCCAGAACTCTACCCCGAAAAGGCATCTATAGGCGGATCCTTTCTTTAAGTGTTTTGAGGAATCCTATCATCTTGGTACCGATAAAGGGACTCTTTTTGGGAGCCTCCTCCTCCTCAAGGTTCCACCGATGCCCTAGACTCCTTTTAGACGAGCTTCGGGTATAGGGTTTAGGGTTTAAGGGTTGGGGTTTAGGGTTCCTTGCAGATGGCTGTTCGGCACAAGCGACAGGTCATGCAACCATGTGTTGCTGCAGAGTGTGGTCGCGCAGACCTGACATTTCCATGCTAGAAAGTGGGAGCATGCCAAAGACCTGCCATTTAGGTTTTTTGATTTGGGTTAGCAGGTTTAGGCTTCAGGGTTTGGGGTTTCGGGTTTAGGGTTTAGGGGCAGCAAAAAAAAGAGCACTATTACCAGACATCCAAAGCCGAGACCTCGAATCTGCGGAGGCCTGAACCACATTTACCTGAAGCTCTGCCCTAGCAAAACCCTGAATTACTGAACGCAAAAACCCTGGCCTTTGAGTCAGGACCTTCCCTCCCAGGGCCCCCCGTAGGCTTCCTACTTCATATCTACGAATTGAGGAGTGTTAGGGCCTAAGCCCCCCTGACCTCCTGGTGCTCTCGCAATGCGGCTGTGGCCTTCGCCAGAGGATGCCAGCGTGCCTTCTGCCGTCGAGGTCCAGTAGGAGGGTTCAACATGCGGTTTAGGGTTTTAGGGTTTTAGGGTTGTAGGGTTGTAGGGTTTTAGGGTTTTAGGGTTTTAGGGTTTTAGGGTTTTAGGGTTTTAGGGTTTTAGGGTTTTAGGGTTTTACGGTTTTAGGGTTTTAGGGTTTAGGGTTTTAGGGTTTTAGGGGTTTAGGGTTTTGGGGTTTTAGGGTTTTAGGGTTTTAGGGTTTTAGGGTTTTAGGGTTTTAGGGTTTAGGGTTTAGGGTTTCAGGGCTTAGTGGGTTTGGGGCAGAACCCTAAGCCATGAAGAAGACCTATCGGGCTCAGGAGTTTGTTTCGAGGTGTGCTCTTTGTTGTTCGCGACATACGTGGTACGGGCGCTTAACTTGGGTCCCTTGTTATATAGCCCTTATGTACGCTTTTCGGGTAAGGGACCATACTTAGGGCCCATGATTCCAAGCTCAGATGTAGGGCTGAGAGTTTAGGTTTTAGGGTTTCGTGTTTAGGGTTTCAGGTTTTCGGGTTGAGGTTTCAGGGTTTTGGGTTGAGGGTTGAGGGTTTGGGGTTTAGGGTTAAGGGCGGCAGGGTTGAGGGGGAGTTTAGGGTTTGGGGTTTTGGGTTTCGCTTTTTCGGGTTGAAGGTTTAGGGTTTTGCTGGCATCTCAAGAGCCTGTTGGAGCTGCAGGCGTGCCGACATAGGAAGCCAGACCATCGGGACCTTTTCTTGAGAGGGCAAAGAGAGTTCTGGGTTTCTTTTTGCACCCCTCTCCCCCCAATTCTGAACCCTAAAGCCTACAACCTCAACCCTAAGCACTGAACCCAGCAGGCGACGCCTGCGTTCCCCCTGCGAGCACGCGGGGGCATGTTCTTTGAGGCGGGTGCCCAAGTCTGGCATCGGTTTGGGGGTTTTGAGGTTTCAGGAGTTAGGGCTTATGGGGCTTCGTCGGGATTTAGGGGTTAATTAGGCTTCAAGACTTCAAGTTTCAAGCCTTGCGAGTTTTGACTTTTAGGGAAAGTTTAGGTCAACTTAGGGAATTGTCGAGCAGGATCCCTTATCAAGTTGGAACAGGAGCTTATGTGCAAACCATACGATCACCCTAAACCTTCGTATTATCTCGGTAGGCAACCTCTAACATGTTTGGGAGTTTACCTTACATAAATAAATATAAAGACAAATAATATATATATATATATATATATATATATACATATACACATATCAAGATAAAGCCCTGCCATATAAGCAAAAGGGTAGCCTTGTTGGGCGGGGGGGTCAGGGAACTGGCCATCCCTAAACCCCGAACCCTAAACCATAAAGCCCGAAACCCGAAAATCCCTAACCCCAAACCCTAAGCCCTCGAAGCCCTAAACCCTAAACCCTAAAATCCCTAAACCCTAAACCCTGAACCCTAAACCTAGCCCTAAACCCGAAGCCCTCTAAGCCTCTTTCGCAACTTTTTCATGTCTGACAAGCCCCCAAGCCCTCGAAACCCAAGCCGCTGACGAGGCCTTCCACACGAAAATACCCAGGCAGCCAGCGCCCCTCGTCCAGACAGGGTTTAGGGTTTAGGGTTTAGGGTTTCGGGTTTAGGGTTTAGGGTTTTTGGCACAAAAAGGCAAAAGGGTACCACTCGGCTACCAAGCCTTTGAAGGGATTGAGGAACCAGGGAGGGGGGGGTGTAAGGGTCCATGTTCCCTAAAACCTAAACCCCAAAAACCCTAAAAACCTTGAACCCTGAACCCTGATACCCGAACCCTGAACCCGAAACCTCTACAGTTGCCGGGCTACCAAGACGTATGGTCGGTTCTCTGTTTGTTGGCCCCTTGTTGGTCTTGTTAGGCGTTTGGCCTTAAAGAAGGGGCCCATATTACAGGATGCCCAGTAGGTTAGGTTCTCTTATGAACTGCAATGAAGTTGACAGGGCAACTGCACCAAAAGACTGGAACGTGGATCCATTGGTGGGGCCTGAACCTTGCTGGGTTCTGAACCCCAGAACCTAAAGCCCAGGACGCTGCTCGCATCTTTTCTGGACGCGCCCGCGAGAGCCAGCAGTTTCGAGGATTTATCTGCACGCAGTGTGTGGGGGGGAGGGGAGGGGGGAAGGAAGTTCTGAACTTGAGAACTTTGACTGGGTACCCTACACCCTAAACCCTAAACCCTAAACCCTATTCAAGTTGATAGTCATGGAGCCCCGGCGGGTGCCCCACAAAGCGAGACTTTCCCCTTGTGAGACCTGTGACAAGTCCCCGATTTCATGAGGCCCGCGCGTGCTTCCGACTTCTTCTTTGCGTGATGTTGGCATGGCTCTCGGGTTTACGGTTTAGGGCTATTCCCTTAGGGTTTAGGTTCCCTCCCAAGCCCCTTTAAACCAAAAAGGGTACCCTTTTTTGCTCCTAGGTTACTCTTGTCTCTCGGCAAGTAACACCAAACCCGACAGCCCCCCTTTTGTGGTTTTTAGGGTTTAGGGTTTAGGGTTTAGGGTTTAGGGTGCAAGTGCAGGTCTACGGTCTCGGAGCCCACGTATATCAGATCTCACCCCGGGTCCCGTTGCGACCCCTGGCAGGGTTTAGGGTTTAGGGTTTAGGGTTTAGGGTTTAGGGTTTAGGGTTTAGGGTTTAGGGTTTAGGGTTTAGGGTTTAGGGTTTAGGGTTTAGAGTTTAGGGTTTAGGGTTTGGGTTTTAGGGTTTAGGGTTCTGTGCTCTGAGTGAGTTGTTTGGCTGCAGTGCAGCCTTCGCATTCTCGAAGGACGCGAAGGACGGGGAGACGGAAGTTGTGGAGGAGCACGATTGCGGGTCCCATGCTTGCAGAGATGATGCGGTTTTTCTAAGGGTGGGTGGACGGTCCCTATCCCTAAACCCCAAAACCCTAGACCCTACACCCTATAAACCCTAAAGCCATTATAAAGGGTTCTGAAGTATGGGCCCTACAACCCCTAAGCCTAAACCCTAATCCCTCAACCCTAAACCCTAAACTCTGACCCCCTAAGCCCTTAGAAGCCCTACAGTAAAAACGCTGTATCAGAAAACGGCTTTCCGGCGATAGGGTACCCTAAGTTTCGTAGTTTGCATTACCCATGTACCCGGGGGGGTTTGAGCCTAGGGTAGGCTTGGTTTCTAAACTCATTTCTTAAGGGAGTACGCTATGCCACTAGACCAAACCCATGTTCCAGGAATGGTGGTGGGAAGGGTTCCCGAATGTGACTCCCGCGCGTTTTGGGGCATGGTCAGGCCAGAGGCGCGGGGGAGTCACGTTTCAGAGCTTTTCAGGGCTGAAAACCTCTAGAATGTGACTCCCGCGCTTTTTTGGGGTAGACCCGGGGGGGGTTGCAGGCAGGATTTTTTAGAAACTGACATTAAAAGCACTAGGGTACCCTGAGTTTCTTAGCTAGAAGGCAACCGCAAATCGACCAATCTTCCCGGGTCTAGGGGCTCAGTTTCTTAAACAGTGGTTTCTTATACAGTGGTTTTACTGTAACAGCCTCAACCTCAGGTACTGCTTGGCCACCGGTGAAAAGCGCTGCTGTGAGTTCCAAGAGGAAGGCCCCATGTTTAGGGTTTGGGGTTTCGGGTTCAGGGTTGAGGGCTGAGGGTTCAGGCTTTAGGGTTTAGGGTTTAGGGTTTAGGGTTTAGGGTTTAGGGTTTAGGGTTTAGGGTTTAGGGTTTAGGGTCACCTGAGCTGTCTTGGGTTTTGGGGCTGTGGGCATGCAAGGTTAGACCCCAAACCCGAAACCTCTTGGGATTTCGGGTTCAGCCCGGGTTACATGTGTGGAACTTTGGGGTTCAGGGTTTAGGGCTTGGCGCTTAAGGTCTTATTTTTGCACCTATGCAACGCCTGCAAGTATAGCGAGAGCCCCTGAAGCCGCTTTAGGATTTGGGGGCTATGGGTTTTGAATTTATGGGTTTAGGGTTTAGCGTTTAGGGTTTAGGGTGTAGGGTTTAGGGTTCAGGGTATAGGGCTAGGGTGTCTGACCTGCTGCTGGAAGTTGTTGAGGGCAGCGTGAAAGATGTGAGCGAAGAGCCTCGCGATCGGCCCTACCTGCCCAGCATATGTAGAGGAGCATTTTGCAAGGTGCTTGTCGTTAGTCAGCCTTTGCACTCTTTCGATCTACAGAATCGGGCCCAGACTAGTGGCCGGGACCCCATGATTTCCTCAAACCCCAAACCTCAAACCCGAAGCCCACTGTGTGTATCTAGGACCCAGAGTGGGCGCTTATTCCCTTTTTCGGGGTTCGGGGGGGGGGGGGGGGGGGGTTTTCCTCTTGGGTCACCCTTAACCCAAAATCCTAAACCCTAAACCCTTAGAAGCACTCTGAACCAAGAAGGGTTACTCATGGTTCCCTAAACCCTAAACCCTAAACCCTAAGCCCCTAAACCCCCTCTTTCTGAGAGAGGCACCTGCACCAACTGCTGCAAAGAGCACTTCAGCACCGACCTCTACTGCAGAATGAACTGCACAAGGCTACACTGTGCACAGGGCTTTGCACCCGTTTAGGGTTTGAGGTAGAGTTTAGGGTTTAGGGTTTAGGGTTTCCGAAGCCCCAAGCCCTGAACCCTAAACTCGGTTTAAGGTTTTGGGTAGTGGAAGGTCGTGGCACTGATGGTCCGAACTAGCTATATGTCCCAGATGGGGACTTTTATTTCACATTTTTCCGGGTCCACTTTTCTCAGAGGGTCCTGGGCTGAGGGTTAGGGTGTAGGGTTTAGCGTTTAGGGTTTAGGGGGTGACAGGACACGGCGAAATCACACGCGTCATTGCTGTGGAACGTGCATCAGCGACTATGCCGTGAGAGAACGGCTGCGAAGGCACGATAGCTCTTGAGCTCCTCAGGTGAAGGTGAAGGCACCTGAGGCGATATGAAGCAGGGTTTATATTGCGCTTATTGGTGAGTGTATATAAGGTTCCCTTTGAATATTGGTGAGTATATATATATATATATATATTGGGTGACCTTTTGGGGCTCGGACAGCTCTTCGGACAGTCCAGGGGTGCAAGGAACACAAACCCTACTTCATATAGGGGTCGAGGGACTGGCCTCGACGAAGCCGGAGATCCGGGAAGACAACATGCACTTCTTCGACCAGTTCTGCTCATCATGCAGGACAGGGCCTTGGGCCACAAGCATGGCCACACGAATGCACGCTTCCTTGAAAGAGCACGACCACTCGGCAGCGCAATAGACGATGAGATAGAGAAGGCACAAGCCGCCGTGGACGCTGTGCAGGAGACTCGCCCCGAGAATCCATCTGCTGACCTTGGGGAGCGTGACGTTCTCATAAGTATAGCTAATGCAATATCCGTATGCCTCCACAGCCCGGAAAACCCGCAGAGACCAAACCCCAAACCCCAAGCCCTAAGCCCTAAGCCCTAACCCCTAACCCCTAAACGCTAAACCCTACAAAAAAGGATTGCATAGGGTCTTCGTCCCTTGAGCCAGGATGTGCCGGCGAGGCATCTTCAGGACGTGGTCGGGCGGCAAGACAGACGTTCCCGTGTGCCCCGTGGGCGAGCCCAACCAGGCAGTCCGGGAAATGGCCCCCCGAAAGCCCTAGACCCCTAGACCCTATAAATCTTGATTCCTAAATCCTACACTGGTAAATCCCATGCCTGCAATGTCAACCCCTATCTTCCCCAAAACGTTCCACCATGAAGCCCTAAACCCACAAATTCGAGCCCTAAGGTGGCGACCCGACCACCAGGGTCCACGATGTACTCAGGGCTTGGTACAACAAGAATATTGAGGTTCTAAGGGGAGTACTAAAAAAATAACTGACCATAAGATGGTTACCGGGCTACTACGTCTGTCCTAGCCCTAAACCCTAACCCTAAACCCTAAACCCTAAACCCTAATCCCTAAACCCTAAACCCTAAACCCTAAACCCCAAACCCCAAACCCTAAACCTTGATTTGAATATGGTTACCGAGCTCGCAAGCTCTAAACAGGCCATACAGAGCTTTGACCTGGCCAAGATGAAGGCCCCGGAACTTTATCGGCTTTTTTTGGGATTTAGGTTTTAAGGGCTTATGGCTTTTGTGTTTCGAAATTTCGGGTTTAGGGTTTAGGGCGAGTGGTTTTACAGGGATTGCGTTTGCCGTTTATTTTAGGGTGTTTGCAGGGCCTTACCGGGTTTAGATAGGGTTGTATAGGCCTGTATCGCCAAGATGAAGGCCTCTTGGCTTGGGTTTCATCGTGTTTTGTTCGCGGTTTTGTGGTGATGTGTCCCTTCTCCTTTTTTTGCGGTCTGCATTGAAGGGTTTGAAAGTGTGTTACGTTCTTTTTTGGCATTTTATGTGTTTTGTTTTTTTTTTACTGGGTTTCACGGGGCTTCATATAGCGTCAGGGCTGTAGGGTTGTAGTGACCAGGTTTAGGGGCGTTTTGGGAGTTTAGGGTTCAGTTTTGGTTTAGGGTTTAGAGGGTTAAGGGCTATTTTGGGTTTAGGGTTTGGGCTCTTTTGGGTTTGGGGGGGAGGGGTACATAGCTAGTGGGGCAGTAAAGGAGCTCATGGCCCTTTGGCAGGACAAGTTTCTCAACCCCTACCTGGACTGGAAGGGCGAGAAGTTCGAGAAGGATGCTGGGCGGACAAGGGACTCTAGGGTTCAGGATTTTTAGGGTTTAGGGTTTAGGGCTTAGGGCTTAGGCTTAGGGCTTAGGGCTTAGGGCTTAGGGCGTAGGGTTCAGGATTTAGGGTTTAGGGTCTAGGGCTTAGGAATTTTGGGGACAACATTCAAGGGACTCTTCCTCGGACCCCTAAGGTGGTAGTCTTTGATTTCGGGACCCTCTTCTAAGATCCCTAGGGGAATATAAAGGCCATACTTGGAGTATGTTAATTTGGAGTATATTAAGGGAAGCCTTGAAACATGGGCGGACATGGGGCTTTAGGGACGGTATTCTTGAACGTTTGGTTGCTTACATCCCCTCCCCCCTCCTCCTCCTCCTGCTCGCACAGACCCTGAACCTCGCAGGGTCCTTAACGGACCCCGAGCCTGAATCTACATTTTGGGATTTAGAGCCTTCGTCTTGGGTGAAAATCCTCGAAACTACAAAAAGTTTAGAGTCTAAGGCCCTTTCAAAACCTTAAGCCCTAATCCCAAGGCCCTAAACCCGAAGCCCTAAACCCTAAATCCTAAAGGCCCCTATACAGGCCCTAAACCCTATTCCCAAGGCCCTACATCCTAAACCCTTAACCCTACACCGATAAGGGGACCTAACGCTCTCAAACCTTCAAGGGCTCAGCCCTAAGCCCCAAACGAGCCGCCCAGTCTTCTCCTGCTCCTCAAATGCACGCCGGAGGGTCTTTTGGGTCCAGAGTTAGGGTTTAGGGTTCAGGGTTCAGGGTTCAGGGTTTAGGGTTTAGGGTTTAGGGTTTAGGGTTCAGGGTTCAGGGTTTAGGGTTTAGGGTTTAGGGCAGAACAGGACAGGTTGTAGGGTTCAGGGCTTTCAAAGAGGGTCAAACTCAAACTTCTAAACCACCATTCAGACTTCAGAGCTTCGCCTCGTGTTACGGCTCCATGTGCTGGTGACTAGTGTGATGAGAAAACACCCTAAACCCTAAACCCTAAACCCTAAACCCTAAACCCTAAACCCTAAACCCTAAACCCTAAACCCTAAACCCTAAACCTTCACTGCAGGAGTGGCTAGCAGCACATCCGCCCAGCCCCACGGAGAAGTGAGCTTGGGGGTGAGAGAAGAAAGCAGCGCGGAAGCAGGGTTTAGGGTTTGGGGTTTAGGGCTAGGGTTTAGAATTCAGGGTTTAGGGCTTAGGGTTTAGGGCTTAGGATTCAGGGAAGCCCTCTAAATCCTAGATCAAACCCCTCAAGCCTGTCAAGCTACACCCGAGGTCAACCCAAATCTTCCCGCACGAACAGTGAGCCCCTAACCATACTTCTGTTAGGGTCGTGTTCTCTGTAAGCCCATTGACATAAGGGTTTTGGGTTTTGGGATTTTGCTGGAAGGTTCATGGGGTAGTTGTACATAGGCCTCATAAGCACCTTAATCAAGGCTATAACCCTAGACCCCAAATTTGAAGTGCTACAGTAAACCCTAAACCCCTTCATATTCACAGCTCACTCTGGGATCTTCGTCTTGGAGGGGGCCCCAATCAAAAGGCAAGAGGGCTGAAGGTCGGATTCAGGGTTGAGGGGTTAAGGGGTAGGGTGTGGGGTTTGGGGTTTGGGGTTTGGGGTTTGGGGTTTAGGGTTTAGGGTTTAGGGTTTAGAGGGCTTGCTGCAGTTTGGACTTCGGCCAGTTCTCAAAATATTGGTCCCCTTTTCGTACCCCCAATCATAGGGACCGCCTTGTAATAAGGTCCCCCCAGAAGGGACCACATCTTAGTAGAGAAGCGGCCATTTGATAGCCATACTCCAACATCACAGGTGCACCGCTCATACGAAGTTGTGCCCCTTCCCATTCCTGGGGACTCCGCCTTGGAACCCCTAAGGCGGCACCCTTGGTTTAGGGCTTAGGGCTTAGGGTTTAGGGTTTAGGGTTTAGGGTTTAGGGTTTGGGGTTTGGGGTTTGGGGTTTGGGGTTTGGGGTTTGGGGTTTGGGGACCTTGCTTAAAGATCCTTCAAGGGAAGAGAAGGGCCGTAAGAGGAGTATATTCAGGGAAACCAGGAATGCTGTTGCTTGGGCCGCAAAAATGCAGAGCGGTGGATGGCAGCGCTGCATCATCGGACATTGATGGCTCACCGGCGGCTTGATCTCACGTTTGCTCTTTTTGAGTGCGGGGAGGTTGGGGTGCTTGACCCAGCCTTGAAAACGCAGTGACCTGTGCTTGCAAGCATGGACACGAAAGTTGCAGCCCTGGACGCTGTACGTGTAAACCATGCTGTGGCTTCAAAACCTAGACACTCTACTCCAAGAAGCCTTCTGCAGACTAGGATTGAGGGCTTTAGGTCCATTTAAAATGCTTGTGCTCTTTCAAGCACCATGAAACAAAAGAGGGCACCCTGTTTGCGCTTCATATAGTCTGCGGGCACACCAAACCATATACCCTAACCTAGACCCGAGCAAAACAAACCCCCCCCCCGCCCATGTGCGCAATCCATGCCCGTGGGCGCAACCGTGGCGTAGCATGCTGCCTGCCCGGGCCCCAAGATGGGTGTTTCCGAAATTAGGGGTACCTTTTTGGGGGTCCTTATTTCAAGGCAATCCTACTATTTTGGGGTGGCTTTTTTAGGGAACCCCTTATTTTCGTACACCCCAAGATAGGGCTTGGGGTTTAAGGTTCAGGGTTAAGGAGTTCAGGGTGTTAGGGCTTGGTGTTTAGAGTTGAGGGCTAAAGGGCTTGGGGAGTAGGGTTAGGGGTTTATAGTTCAGGGCTTACGCCAGCCGCGACCCATGGAAATTGAGGAACCCCAGATTGGATCACCTTCTGAGGCAGCTAGGCCCTATGGCAGCAGCATGCGTCAGGTAGAGGCCCGGTGTGATAGATCAGGTATCTGCAGGCTCCGAACCCTATCTCTGTACTCCCTATGCCTTATGCCGTGTCAACCCTTGACCAGACCCTAGCCCAGACTAGACCCTAACACCCCAACACCCCAACGCCCCTAAACCCTAAACCCTAAATCCTAAACCCAACTCCAGGCCTGGGCGTCAGACGTCCGCGGCGCATTCTGGCTGCTGGCGGCAGCTTGCGTGGGGCGTAAAGCCAGGCTCGCCGGAAGAACGCAGCCGCGGCTGAGGGTGTAGGGCTTGAGGCTTCAGGGTTTAGGGTTTCGAGTTTGGGGATTAGGGTGGCGGGGCTTACTTGAAGTCTAAAGGTCGTTACATGGGGCCCTTGATATCGCCGGAAGAACACACACTTGAAGTCTAAAAATAGTCACATGGGGTTTGGGATGTTCCCTTATGTGAACAGTCCTTAATAGGGATAAGAATAGGGGGCACTAGAATCCCTAAGGACTGTTAGTATCAAGGGGAACATTCCAACATGGGGTCCTTAACATCGCCGGAAGAACACAGCCGCGGCTGAGGGTGTAGGGCTTATTTGAAGTCTAAGGGTAGTTACGTGGGCCCTTATATGGTCCCTTACCTCCCCATACCGCCTTGAAAGGGATCTGATGTATGGGCCCATGGGTTGTGCAGGGTATATATAAACTAAGGGACCATGTAACAAGGACAAGGTTCATGCGTGGTTACAAGTAGGGTTAAAGCTACCTTGACTACCATTATAGTACAGGTTGCCTTACTATCGCCACGCCCATGAACCTTGGAGTAGGGCCTAAAGGGTTTCAGGTTGCATGCCGTGTCTTATAGGGCTGCCTAGGACTGCACTGATGTTCAGAAGGTTCGGTTAAAGGCTCGAATCCTAAACCCTAAACACCCTAAACCCTAAACCCTACTAGTTCTTCAAGCTCCCTTGATGGTCGCACGAGACCTTGCCCTTCGGGTGACACTGTGCCATAGAAGAGGCAAGGCTTTCCTAGTATCCCGAAAAGGGACGCCCAACAAAAAATTGATATACACTCAGCAACCTATATGGGGAGCCCTATAAACACCCACCGAAAACCTGTATACGCGTCTCAGTGATGGCCCCTTTTACAGGTTTCTCCAAAGTCGCAAGTAGAAGTTTGCAAGGCTCCATACCACCCTAAACCCTAAACCCTAAACCCTAAACCCTAAACCCTAAACCCTAAACCCTCCTGGTACTATTCTTGGGCCTCCAAGCGGGACCAGAAGTTGGCGAGTTGCAGCAGGTTGCCCATCCCCACGCCTGTGCTATGGATCCTTTCGGGCACATGCATCTCGGCTGGGACATGGTTTTGGTTTAAACCCTGAACTCTGTAAAGCCTTACTGGCTCAAAACCCAACTTTTCAACTTTTGGGGCTTCTTATAAGGTAGTTTATTCTGAAAGTTTCAGCTTTTGTTTCCTTGGGTTTTGGGCCAGTATAAAGAGCTCCAAGCCTTGAAATCCTAAAGCAGTCTTTGCCTCCAGCGGTGCACCTCGAACCCAGCAACCCCCATGCTTGAAGCACCACCGACAAAAAGGAGGCTAACACCAAGGATGCCCACAAGTATTGTATTCCCTTTTTTTAAGGGGGTTTGGTTCTCTTATAAACCCCTTTAAGCAAAAAAAAAGGCACCCTTTTTAATCTTAGGTTACTGGGCAACCTAGATACAGGAGCCTAAAGAAGTAGCGGTAGTATCCTCAACAATTCACCAATTACATATTCACCAATTTACATAGTTGCAGTCTACCCTAACCAAAACACCCTTTACAACACGTGCAGATATCCTAAACTTACCTGAACCTGAAACCCTGAACCCTAAACCCTGAACCCTAAACCCTAAACCCTGAACCCTAATTAAACCATATAACCCTAAACCCAAAACTCTGAACCCTAAGCACCAGCCCAGGTACGGCCGCCGTGGGCTTCAGCGCCGTGCTCTCAGCTGGCTACGGGTGCCATCTTCTCAGTTTTTGTCACGAGACCCTTAAACCCTTAAACCCTTGAACCCTTAAACCCTTAAACCCTTTAAACCCTTAAACCCTTAAACCCTTAAACCCTTAAACCCTTAAACCCTTAAACCCTTAACCCCCAAATAGATCCTGAAATGTTTTTCTAATCGCACCCCCACGCAAAATACCTCAAAGGTCGTTTTTTCAATCGAATCACGGTTTTACGGTTGCTTGACTTTGCGTTTTTGGGCTCCTTATAAGCTCATTCCTAGTCTTGCGAGGGGCTTCGGCACTTTGGCGTTGAGGAGGGCAAACAATCAGCACGAACACGAGGGTTCTTCCACGCGTTGGGGTGGTTCTATGTTCATTTCATGGGTTCTTTTGGTACGTTAAACAAAGCAAGCGTTATACAACGCAAGCGTATAACTATTATGAACCCGAATTGCCCGAAACCCTGAACCCTAAACAACAGTTGCGACTTAGTTCTCGCATATAGTTGGAAGCAGCCTCCACTGCCCTTGTAGATCGCGCATGTAGTGCATGTTGTTTTCAACTTGCCCTGGGCAGTATGCACAGTTTGCGAACTTGGGTCCGTACACAGTCTCTTTGCATAGGGTTATATCCTGCATGTACCTAATTCCCACATTCCTAGAAGGAACTAGACAGTCAGGAAATATCGCACATGCTAGTGCTCCCTGCGACAGGCCCCACCTGCTTAATGACCTCCCGTGGTGAGGTCGCGTTCTACATCCACACCACCCGCACAGTGGTCTCCTTAGTGCTGGCATCATAGGGGCACAAAGGGGACACATTGGGGGGGGGGGGGGGGGGTGTGAGGTGTCAGGTGTAAGGTGTGAGGTGTGAGGTGTAAGGTGTGAGGTGTAAGGGTCCTACATTTCCCACTACAGTTGCTTTGGGCCCCTAAGGTTGTTTGGTGAATGTGGTCTCCTTGACGTTACACACCCCGCCCCCCTCCTGTTGCTTTGTTCCTTATGATGGTGCTGTCGTAGACAATTCCAAGTGCAGTTTCCCAATATAGGAGTATCTTGTTCGGGGGGGCGGGGGGTCCTAGAATAAGGGTTATCCTAGTTGGGGCTATTCCAAGGGCAACTTCCCCTGTTTCGGAAATACCCAGACATGTCACAGCCGAATAATTTCTGCCTGCGGGTGGACACACTTAATACCTTAAGGAGACCTTTCGCAACTCCTGAGGTTTCCGTTACTTCCCGCAATTCTAGGGTAAACTGTAAACCCTATACCCTATACCCTAT